AGTATCACGATGCTCCTATAGGAGGACATCGTGGCCGAGAGAAAACATATCTCACGGTAAGTCGAGACTTTTACTGGCCCCGCCAGTATCAGTTTGTGCGAAAGTATGTTCGCGCATGCGAAGTCTGCCAACGAGTGAAGTCAAGTCCTTCACTGCGTGCACCTTTACAGCCTCTACCGGTTCCGGCTGAGTGCTGGGAATCCATCTCAATGGATTTCGTCTTCGGGTTACCCAAAGACGCACGCGGGAATACGGGTATTCTCGTATTTGTTGACAGATTCAGCAAAATGGTACACCTTGTGGCTGTACCAGAGACAATCACGGCAAGTGGCTGTGTTTGTGTCTTTATTGACACCATCTTCCGACTTCATGGGTTGCCCCGTGAACTCGTATCAGACAGAGATCCACGATTCACTGCTGATTTCTGGCGTTCCGTGTTCAAATCACTCGGAACGCGCTTGAAGATGTCAACATCTGATCATCCAGAGTCAGATGGTCAGACGGAACGTGCCAATCGTGTCCTTGAAGAGATACTTCGAGGATACGTACACTCCTTTAAGAGTTGGAGTGAGTTTTTGCCGATGGTAGAGTTTGCCATCAACAACTCGGTGCATGCGTCCACGACACATACACCGTTTTACGTGAATGGCTTGCGCCATCCGCGTGTACCCACCTTACTAGAGTGTAACTCTGGTTTAAGGGGGGAGGGACTCGCGCGAGCAAAAACCGAATTGGTTCACGCTCATCACGCTCTGACGAAGAAGTCATTGCGTTTGATGCCGATATCGATAACATCGATATCGAAGAAGATGATGCCAGTGAGAGTGCGGAAGCCCTCACTGAAGAAGATGATCCCAGTGAGAGTGCGGAAGCCCTCACTGAAGAAAAGGTTGATGTTGCTGCAGTGCGCTCACAGCACACTGAAGCTAACGAGTCATCAGATGAGTTCATACTGGCTCGTGAAACGGTAGTCCGTTTTGTGCAAGACTCCATCGCCGAAGCGGTGGATAAGCAAAAGCAAAACGCTGACAAGAATGGAAGGGCAAACACTCTTTTATTTAATAAAGGTGACTTAGTCCTACTGTCTACGGTTAATCTACCAAAGCATGTAGTGACTAACTTGGGTAGCAGTAAACTACTACCCAAGTACATTGGCCCATTTCGTGTATTGCACCGCCTAGGCAATGCATACACGATCGAGTTACCACGTAAGATGCGAACGCATCCCACGTTTTACGTTGGTCGGCTTAAGCCGTACCATCAGTACGCTGCTTCTTCCGATGAAGAACGCCCTTGCGCTCAAGCATCTCGCAGAGAGCCTTGTGCTCCCGATGGTGGGCATCAACAAGGGTCTGAAGAGCAGTTATCTCAGCCCGAGACCGATCAACAATCCCACGAGCTACCCTTAGCTCGTCACGAAGAGATGTCAGAGATCTCTCGTTCTCAAGCTGAGCAAAGGCAAACTCAGCTCGATGCTTCGAGGCAGTGTCCACCATCTGGAGACGCCTATTCCGCTCATGCTCGAGATCGTCGCGTAACCCTTGCGTTACGCGATCAAAGAAGCTCTCGGGAACACACCGATCCACATAATCGTGTGGAGAGCGTCTTTCCTCCTCCTCCACCTCCATTAGAGGACTCTCGCGGTGGCCAGCGCTATCTAGTTGAGCAGCTGTTGAACCACCGCGACGTGAACGGACGTCGGACGAGTTACCTCGTCCGGTGGCGCGGCTATCCCCCGTCCTGGGATTCTTGGGAGCCCCGCTCCCAATTGATGGTTGACGTACTGGGTCTGGTCGAGCAGTACGACGCGACACATCCTGTGCCGCAGAAGGACCGCCGGAGAAAGTCTTCCCGGCACGGTCGTAAAGGGATTTCAGGTTGTCAATCCCTTCGTACATCTCAGTAGAGACACGTACGCGCCACCACGGGCTGGTAAGGAGGTAAGCCTCCTTAGGTGCTCGTGCAGAGTTGTTCACACAACATGGGCACGAGTCTCCCCAAGAGAGGCAGGGTAATCCTTTCTCCCTTGACAGACGATGCAGCTTGTAGCGTGCACCTGTCGGGGTTCGCTTGTCAAACTTATCACGAGCTTTGATAAGTTTGTCGTTCCAAGCGTCACGACCTACATCCTCGAGATTATGGATGTAGGCGTTCCACGCCTGAAGTAGTGAGGGACCATCACGTTTGTGATTCCCACTGTACCATCGATGTCTGAAGAAAGCATCGATGAAGAACTCATGTTCAGCGCGATAGTCTTTCGCGCTGGGGTCAAGGTGATGAATCCTTGACGAATCGAACAATCGTGTTCGATAACGATCACTCGTCGTCGCCGACAAGTGATCCATGACAGATTTAGGAGGCATCCATGCCTTCTTTTCTGGAGCGAGACGCAACACATTGCGGTCCCGCTCTTCCTGCGACGTGCCGACAGAAGTACTGGCACCTCGCTGTGAAGTGGTGTCCATTGGAGAAACGACACCACTATTAGCGCCCGAGTCTCGCGACCTCGAGCGCCTTCGCTTCGGCGATGGTTCATCTGACTCATCAGATGAACCAAAGATGCTGCGACGCAAAGCATCGTCCATGCCACGCTTGGCAGGCGGCTTGGATTCAATTGCCGTCGATACGGATCCGTCATCCGTATCAGGAGAGTACGAGACACCGAGCTCGTACTCTGTGAAGACACGAGTGTCTTCATGACCAGCGCCTGCATCACCAGGTGATACAGGCTGAGTCGATTCAGCAACCGATGGGACATCAGTTGCTGTAGTTTCTGCTTCGGCGTCCGCACAGAGACGTGCAGACGCGCTCTCGGCGGCCTTGCTCGCGCATCGCATGGGCTTGTTTACCATGCGATGAGATGTTGGAAAGTGGACGCGGACCAACAAGTGCAAACCCCGTCCCAAATGATTAGGGACGAGTATCCATTTAGTCAATCAGTCACTAAAGTGACTGATGGTTAAGGGGGGGTGATGTAACGGGGTGAATCGTTACATAACAATTTATAAGAATTTGCTAATAGAATATAACTATAAGAGTTATATTCTCAGAATATTGTCATAAGGACAATATTCTGTAGCACTTCCAAGTAGTTCCTAATTGGTTGATATAGGCCATTATATCAACCAACGAAGACGCGCCACGACAGACGCACGCAATGAGTGGTGAGCAGATAACTGATTTACACATTTGTATTTAGACATAGTTAGATGAAGATAAATAGTGATTTATTGCAGACATTAACTATTATAAATACAGTTCTACTTTTTACTCTAACCAAGTACTCGCTTCTTCTTACCGTCTTCCTCTGCACGTACGAGTGTACGTGAAGTTACGAGGCACCGCCTTATTCTGTTATCAGAATAAGTAGCTTGTACTGTCACCAGTACAAGCTTCAGGGTGCCCCGTTACAGAAGGGGGTCCTATATAATGATGACTTCATCATATTGGACTTGGATGAAAGATTCGATGTTATCTTTGGACTGCCGTGGCTAAGAAGGTACAAGCCACAAGTCAGCTGTCATCGACGAACAGTCGATGTGCCTGTCACTTGTTCATCAGATGATTATCTGATGAACGCCATAGAGCACTTCCTAAAATGTGGGTGTACTACGAGCGAGTGCGATGGTCTTGCCTGTATTTCGGTCGTTATTACGACTACACATGGCCATATCATGGCTGATTGACACACCATGGAACCAGATGCAGGCGACTGCATTGAGAGGCAGGTCGCGCCGAAGGCCCACCACCCGATAAGTCAAGTAAACTGGTGCATGAGTGTCATCCAAACGGGCAACACCCAAGTGATAACGAACCGATTGACGATGATTGACAATACTATGATCTTAGTGCGATTGGAGGATTACACGTAGAACATCTGGTCGTGGTAGCGCAACCACCGCCAGAGGATAGCGAGGCAGCAAATCCACTCGTGTCAGATGGTGATATAGCCCAAGAGGCTAGTGAGGCAATAAGTCCCATTCAAGTGTGGAGATAAGTTTCCAGGAGATAACAGAGACATGAAAAGTCCTGGTCAATAACGAATCAACTATGTGTACTTACCAACTTGATCTGATCGCGCCTCCGAAGACAAATTCTTAGATCACTCGATTGCCCACGCTCGACCAGAAGAGGTTTTTGCGTGATATGCGTAGTGGCAAAGTCAAGCAGATTTGCGTACTCGTCGAAAGACGAGTGTGTAGCTGATATTCTGTCCGCAATGATATTAGCTGATAAGGAATGGTTTCTCAGCAGCTCATTAATGGAAGAAAGTGTCCTTAATGAGAAGACTCGGAATTCGTGATATACATCCCGATCGTGAGTATCGCTCAAGACAAACTCTCTACGATGATTTGACCGACTTAAGAGATGTGTTCCCAGAAACAGTGCCATGTGTACTATTGAAGGATAAGGGTACTCGTCATGAGATTGACCGAAACCGGGTTCAAAAACTGTGTCATGAAGCAGTGGCCACTTCCTCGTGAGCACGTACTAGCGATTGACAAATTCTTTGCCGATTGCTTGGCAGCAGGCCATGTGAGGAAATTTACTTATCCACATAGCTATCCGACCTTACGTGTCCGAAAGGCCACAGGAGGATGTGTTAGAAGATATAGCTGTTAACAGGTTACGTCGGTGTAGAGGCAACTGCAAGACCTGTTACAGGTTTAGGTCGACCTCACCTGATTGGTCGACAAGTTGACGGTGGGACGAGACAGGTTGACATATGGGACGCGAGAAGACGATCGTCATGTCGGACTATCAAAGACAGATGGTAGGAGAGACAGAGACATACAGACGTCGTATGGGACCAGGACCAGCACATGGGATGGGCACGCTGGACGTATGCCAAAGTACAACTTGACTAGGTCAAGTTGCAGTGCTGGTGCAAATACATATAAATAGGGTTGACTAGGGAGAATAGTTAGCACCCAATATATTTCACTTTTACTTCCTACATCCTTTGCACAAGTGCAAGAGCTACCAACATCTAACAGGTTATGAGCCCAATCAAACGTGTTGGTGGTGCGGCTGAACCAGCTGCACATACCGTGGTGGTCGACGACCATCACCTGGAAGAAAAGTCGGCAGCGCCTGCGGAGGCGATCGAGAAGATGCTAGCCATGCTAGGAGACCTGTTCGAAAGGATGAATCGGATGGAGGTCTCCCAGAGAGAGCAAGGCGGCAAGAACTGGCAGGGCTCACCCGATTCGAGTATCGCCAGTCGGCAACAGGAGGTCGGGGCAGGGATTAATCTCCAGACTTTATCCCGTACCCCTCCTAAGGAATCTCCAAACGTGTCACCAGCAACATATTTCGGTATTCGGCGACAACAACAGGCAGGTGTTGAAGGTCCTCACGCGAGAAAAGCAGAGGAAGGAGTCAACATGGGTCAGGCACCCGTCCCTGGGATATACCGGGCAGGTTTGCCTGAAGGACGCTACCCCGGTATGGGTATGCCTAACGGGGTGTGTGTTTACCCTGGGCAGCCGGGAGTCGGCATGCCGGACGCGCAACAGCGGAAGCTGGCATTGCAACCTTTCGACGGAAAGGAGCTCTACCACGGCCTTGGCTGTGGATTCATGGAGTGGGGCAAAGAATTTGTTAGACAAGTCGGGTTTGCTGAGCGAGCGTGTGGTTTCGTGTAGCCAGAGGACATCAAGGTTGATGTTCTAGGTCAGCACCTAGCCGGCAAGGCACAGACCTACTATCGTCGTCAAGTGGAAACGTGGTGGTTTGAAAACCAAACCCTGGAAATGCGATGCAGAGACTACTGCAGACCTTCACGACAAAGATCTCGCCAGCACAAAGCATGAAGTTGTTCACAGCACCCAAGGCATCCCATCGAAACTGGACAGACCATTTTCTGTACTTGACGGCCGTCAGTGACGCCTGTGGAGGTGCAGACAACCTTGTGCTGGACAACATCGTCCATTATGCTGACCCACACATGCGAACGACGATGTTGTCCAGATTGGACATTCATCGCATCGATTACCTGCGGCAAGCAGAAGAGTTGGCGCAATTTGCCCAATCGACGGAGGTGGACACTCACTCGAAGAGTTTTGGCCGCGATGTGGTGAACACTGTCGAGGTTGCGCAGGAGTTCAAGGACAAACACAAATCAAGACCGTCGCTACCACGCACCGACACCCGGACTTGTTTCAAATGTGGAGAAGTGGGTCACATTCGTTCGAGGTGCCCCAAAATGAAGAAGAAGCCCTCGGGTGCGAATTTCGTTTTCGCGGTTGGTCGCGGTGCGAGTCGCTCGCCCGGACAATGGATTCTCGACAGCGGTTCGAGTAGACATTTGTTCAATGACCCGAGTCTGCTGACTGATCCGATTGATTGTCGCAGCGAGTGCATGACTGCAGCCACTGATGGAAGTGCGCTGCGGATCACCCTACAAGGAACTGTAGACATCCAAGTCGTTGCACTTGGAGTCGTGATCACAGTGATGCTCCTCAATGTTCAGTATGCGGAGAACCTCGAGCGTAACATCCTTTCCTACGGATTGCTCGAGGCAAAAGGTTGCGTACTTGAATATCGAGGAGGGAGGCGCGTGTTGTCTTCCGGTACGGGCGGTGCACCCATCATGGATGTGGAATGCTGCAACAACGTGTTGGTTGTCGCGGTGACAAATCATAGTGATCGTAATTCCATGCCACCACAAGAGGCACTGATGACTGTCGTCAACCCACCTGAATATGAATCCGATTCGGATGTTCTATGCGGTACATTGATGAACTTTCATCGACGTTTAGGACACCTTTGTTTCGACACGATCGTCAAGATGGCGAACGACTCACCTGCTTGGTCGACAAGTTGACGGTGGGACGAGACAGGTTGACATATGGGACGCGAGAAGACGATCGTCATGTCGGACTATCAAAGACAGATGGTAGGAGAGACAGAGACATACAGACGTCGTATGGGACCAGGACCAGCACATGGGATGGGCACGCTAGACGTATGCCAAAGTACAACTTGACCAGGTCAAGTTGCAGTGCTGGTGCAAATACATACAAATAGGGTTGACTAGGGAGAATAGTTAGCACCCAATATATTTCACTTTTACTTCCTACATCCTTCGCACAAGTGCAAGAGCTACCAACATCTAACAGGATGGAGGATAGTGCACGCGTTTAACAAATTGAACGCTGCAACGGTACCGGCTCAAACGCCGATCCCGAGGAAGAAATATGTCATTTTCGATGGTACTGAAAAAAAGTACCATCTTGTCGTCCATGGATCTGATGGATGGATTCTATCAGATCCTCATGCCTTAACGGGACATCCCGTACACAGCAGTGAGCCCCCTCAGTGGTATGCTGTAGGATTGGCTTAGTGATGCCACAGGGGCTTAGTACCTTCCCTGCATTGTTTAACAGATGCATTACGAATCTGTTGAGATCTGTGCAAGAATTCGCACCTAGTTTTTTTCTGACGTGTTTGGACATATCCGGGCTTTGGATGGACAGAAAGATGTAAAAGTCCACCGACTCCACGTCCAAAAGGTTCCTACACTGACGCGTAAGCATAAATTTTATGTCAGCCTCAAGGAGCGCACACTTGCTGAACACATGAAATGGTTTGTCATAATCTAAAATTGCCAAAACTGGCGAGATTATCAAGCTTTGCGTGATGCCTTAAAGTGAGCTTTGAAAATTAAAACTTCATACCAGCTTCAAACTCTTTTTTAAAAAATGAGTGAGATGAACATTTATGTCGACGTAATTGTGCGAGTATTTGCGCAATACGCCGCTTGGCCAAGGAACTTTTGAACTCTCTTCATCTCGATAGGCACTGGCCTGTCAGTGATCACCTTGACTCCGTGTGCTTTGCCTTCCTCGCCTCGTGTACACAACTTTAGGACTGGTTGCACTTTCCAGGTGGAATCGAATCGATGCCGAACTTTACTGCGGTTGGAATTGGTATCGATCGCGTGGAAATCTTCACATGATCGCGTTGTATTTGGGTGGGTCTACGTATGAGTTGCCCTGATCTGATACAGATTGCCTTGCCTAAAAAAATGCTTGATCCTGCCAGCCCTCTAACCACTTGAGCCGTATCGCGATCTATCACGCCTTCGTGTAGATCGCAGAAGTTATCTTTGTTAATCGTTGATCTTCTTCCGTCGAGTGTCTTCTGTCCATAGCTTGATCTTGCCCCATGCTTCTGTCGATTTTTTCTTGGTACGATTGCGACATACTCTTATCCAATACTTCTGTCGTTTGGCGGGGGAGAATTCTGGTGGGTATTTCGTACACAGGATGATCCACCAACGGCCCTGTATACTCTTCCACTGTCTCTTCCTCTCGCTCTGTGGTCGCTTCAAGCGCTAGTGTTTGCCATTCTGTATATCGCCTCGATCCGATCGATACATACCCTGGTGATCTAGGTATCATGTTCGATGTCGTCCACAAAGCCAACGCAGCTCCGTGATTTAAAATTATTTCACGATCGCTGAGGTTCGTGAGCTGCAAATACTTTATTTGGCCGTGTCCACAAGTGACCGTCGGCACCCACGCCACGCCTCGTCTCACCCAAAGTTTAGCTTTAGGTGGACCAACTCCAATTCGTACCTCTGTCAATCTGCCCACTGGTATGACCACGTGTTGATCTATCAGGTTGATCGCTCGTATAGTCGATCGGTAAGACATTTACGCCACGCCGCACGGGAATGCTTGTACTTGTGTTAAGCAAACTGCACGAACAGGGATGCTATCATGATCCAATTTCGATGCTCGTGCTCAAGCTCGTCTCCAAGTTGCTTCTGGATAGGCGGATCTGTTTCCGTTTTTAGATACAAGGTGACTAATTCCGCTTGGAAAGTAATGCGTCGGTATAAGGAAGTGATTGTAGTCCCTGCAGAACTGTTGTCGTCGGACGGCGGGGGTCCTACTTGCAAGTCGGAAAGAAGTCTCGAAGGTGTATGCTTGTTCGATACACGATCGGGTTTATTGCGGGGAGATGAGCCTGATCACCAAGAACAATGAAATCGGCGTCAGCACCTGCATCAGCAGCAAACACGGTAACCGGGTCGGTGGGCTGAACAGCAGGAGTGTCCGTCTTATCGGCGACTGACGCGCCTGAATAAATGAATGGATTCACCGGGTCATCTTTGAGCACGGCTATGATACGTAATTGCTCGACAGCCGGATATCGAACATGGGAAGTTACAAAGGTCAGTAATGATGCCGGCGGACACAGCTCGCCGGAAAAGTCGACGGGAAGGTCATTCGTAGCGCTCCTAGTGTTGGCCGGAGCGTGTCCGGAGTCATCAGAGAGTTCGCCGACTTTGATCGAGTCACGGTTTTCGAGAACAACAATTTTTCCGGTGGTGTCTAGTGTATGACCAGCGCGTGTTCCAACATTAAGAAAGTGGTGGATGATTGCAGCAGAGCCGGCTGATGGGGTACTAAACTCGAAGCTAGGGATAAACCTGCGGCAGAGAGCTTTAAGGGCGACATCGCTTCAAGCTTATCGGATGAAAGACGCGAGAGTTGAACGGAGTGGGTTAGTAAAACAGTGCTAATCCCGATCGGCATTAATTGCAGATTACCGGAGCAGAGGAAGGTTGTGGTGAAGGGGTCAGGAGAAGTCCTGACCAATCGTATCTTTTCACATTATGGATACCTGTGGGACCGATCACGCTGTTCTTGGGACCGACCGACCGAGATAATTAACGGTACGGTGGAAAGTGGACCAGCCATCAGTCGCGATCACAGACGGCGACCAGCAGTCATGGCCACTATCGGTGACCATAGGTAACGATCACTTTGGACGAACATCGGTAATGGTCACTATGGAAGACTAGTGGTAATGGTCACTGTGAACGACCAGCGGTCATGCTAATAGTTGGGTGGGTCACTTATGCATTGGGGATGAATGGCAGGAGGCAAACGACGTAATTGATATTATGATACAAATATAGACAAGCGTATATCCGGATCCTAAGAGCTCACCAATAAAGAGTAATGACTTTTCTACAAAAGACTTGCATCAGCATTCCTCTATCTGAAATACTAGTGGAAACTCGAAATTCAAGGTTTACTGCTAACGTAGTGTTCAAGGTTTGTCCCTAGATTACTTGTCCAGGAACAAGGATACTTATTCAAGTTAGCCCGCGTTCGGACGCAGCAATCATATAAAGGCAAGGTCTTCAGACGGCTAAAGTGATCCGAAGAACAAGGTGATCAAGTGGTCTGAAGAACAAGAGGATCAAGCATCCACAACAAGGCGAGTCAACCTCATGGAAGGCCAGCGCGATCGCCTCACGGCCCAACTTTCGGATCTCAAGAGTCAGCATGATCGGCTTAAGTCTGAGCTCGCCGATCGAGATGCCGATCGTGGCCGATTGTCCCAGAAAATAAGTGCATTGGAGGTAGAGCGCGATCAGGCACTCCAGTCGAAAAATTCGCTCTTCGCTCGCTTGACAGAGGTGGTCGCCAGTGTTTCTCCAAGTGTTCTGCCTGCACCTGCCGAGTCTTCCCCGAAGAATTTTCCACGTCAACCTAAGCGATCGCCTCCTGCTTCCCCGTCCAGGGAATCCCAAGCCAAGCGTGCCCGATATATCGGATCCTCGCCACGTCGATCGGCTTCTCCCGATCCGTTTGGTTCAAGATCGTCATCGTCGGAATCATCTGAGGACAGCGATCCAAAGGACTCTTCTTCCGATGAGACCGATGATTCCTTGTTGGCGGCGTTGTCATCATCTCGTTCGACTGCCCGTCGTAGAAACACGTCGTCCCCTAAGAAACCATCGTCTACTCCGACCCCTCCACCGGTGAATGTCGATTCCTCCAGTCCGGAACATGAACCTCACGATAATACATCGGGAGTGTCTTTGGTGGATTTATTCGGAGAGCCTTCCAGCGACTCCGAAAGCGATCTCAGTCTCTCTGGTGATCCTCGGAGTCCTCGGAATTCCTTGTTGACACCTGCAGATTTCGTGGCGCTTTCCGACACCCGCATACCCCGCGATCGTTGGATTCCGGGGATCGCGATCGGGTTTCACGATCGGCGGTTGATGTGTTCCCTTGGTCCGCCCGAAGAGTGAGCTTGATCAGCGTATCCGAGTTGGACATAGATTTGTTCTATCGCCACTTTTCCAAACCGAAAGGGTACATCTTTCCAGTCCGGCTAGGCAAAGCTCACCCTCCTCCGGAGTCGTCTTGGTCATCCCATTTGATCACGTCGGCCAAGATTGATCAATTTTACGATCAACAACCGTGGGACATTTATGATCAAGTCATACCCCAGATCTCCTTCAAAACTTTCGGCTGGTTCGAAAAATTGGTCGAATCCTATAGCCGCTTTGTGGATAGTCATCGCCAAGCTCTGTGGGAATCAACCCATTTCTTGTGGATATCTCCTGAGCAACGTAGAACGGACCCTGGATTGGAAGCATTTGCGCGTGCAAGAAGGCAGAGACGATCTCGCGCTGGGCCCCGTTGGAAACGAGTACTGCAGCTGATTCTTCAAGGCATGATCGACGGTCTCTGCGATTTGGACATTTTATTATACCCCATGTTCTTGCACTTTCCACGTCCGAATGAGGCTAGAGTGTGGTATCCCTGCCTTTCTGCGAACCGGACCAACATACCTAACTTGACCAATGCTTTGTCGATCGATCATGCCACCGAGCGTTGGAGGACCCAGTTTCGTCCTTCGATCGCAGCTCACCCTGGGTCGTCACTTCCTCGCTTGATTGGTAAATTCTTCGATCGCGAGTAATCTCTTTGGTTTGTTCCATAACGCGATCTCTCAATATACTTTCTTCTCATTTCCATTCGATCTCTCCCATAATTCTTGATTCTTCCTCCTTTCTAATCATCGTGATCGCACCCTTAGATCTGCGATCGTTACACTCACATTACATAAATCCCCTTCCATCTCTATGTGCAACCTCCTTGCACCCCAAATTCTCCTCCTCGTCCATGCACCGTCTCTGCATAGACCCATTCCACTTCAGCTTTCTGTTCATCGCTATTCTCGGGCTTCTTCTTCGTGTGATTGCATTGCCTCGAAACGATTCCTGCTAACCCGATCGCGATCGAAATCCTGTAACAGAGCTCCACAGTTTAAATCAGCTTTATCAAATCAGGTTGGATCGTCGTATTCCTTCCACTGTACTAGGTACTGCTTATGGATTCGGCCATATCTCGTCTTCCGTCCTGAGCGCACATCAACGATCTTGTCGATTTCAAACTCTTCCGCTTCTAGGTTACCCTCCCAGCTATCTTCCGGCAGCAGTGCTTCATCAAAATCCAATCGACTTGCCTCCTCCACAATCAAACTGCCTGTTGGACGTTCCGGGAATACGCGAACTAGCTTCAGCTTAGATACGTGGATTATCGGGAATAGTCTGTACGGCGTGCCTGCGATGTCCAACTTTACTGCATGATCGCCGCACTTCTCAGCCACTCGAAAAGGTCCATGCAACATATGGGCCAATTTTCGTGCGTATCCTTCCTTAACTCGGTCCAGATATAACCACAGATTGGCAAATGAATGGGATTTAACCAACATATGTACCCTTTCCCAGAGCGATCTAACAGTGCTCACCCTGTCCCAATCAGTAAAACTCAATCAGCGGGTGATTCATGATCAGGGGGGGTGATGTAATGGCGGAGCCCGTTACATTATTTAGATACCAAACGGTTCTAGTAGGGAATTTGTCTAGCATGACATCGTTCTACCAGTATTATCCAAGATGGATGATATTGAAGGTATACTATCCTCTTTGTAGAAAAATATCTATGCGCTGCTTAAAGATTGGTTAATATGAGACATTTCGACCATACATTACCATCAATCGCTGCTAGACGCGCGCAATGAGTGGTAAGCAGGTTGTCGTCATACGAAAATGTAGATTAATATAGTTAGATAAAGACGGAAGTTACATTGATAGCTTAACTACATTAAATACAGTTCTCTTCTTAACTATTACTTAGATTAGTCGTTGAGTAGATTAGCTTCCTCTGCACTTACTAGTGCACGTGAAGTTTCGTGGCAACCAGACATAGGTCCTTCGCGAGCGTCATCAGGTCTTGCGGCTGCGATAGGCGTCGGATCTTCACTTAAACGGTTGATCTCATGAAAATCCGCCTCTCGTAGTTCATACAAAACCGACGCGTATATTTCGAAGTCTTCAATGAATCTGCTGTAGTAGTTGAGGCTTCCCAAAAATGACTGCATCGCTCGCAGTGTGCGAGGGAACGGGATGTTCACCAATGATTCCAGGTTTTTTGGATTAGCTTCCAACCCTGCGAGTGAGATTTGGTGCCCCAGATATTCCACCTTGCGACGGCCCCAAAAACTTTTGGCCACACTGATCTACAAATTCCACTTATCGCTTGTGTAAGCTTGTGAACGCCTAAAAAATTGGCTTCTCTCTCCGCCTCTTACTAGTGAGTCCGATGTAAACGACTCGAAGACGTACTGCGGAACTTCTCCAGCCTAATGCCTTAAATCCGTGAGAGATTACAGCATGAGTTGGCAATGGACGAGCATATGCATTGGAGGACCTATGGAAAAGCGGTCACGAGGAAATTTACCGTTCAGCTGGAGTGGAAGAATGGGCGGATCGCACACCTCAGCTCGTTCCAAAGCGTTATGATTGGTGGACACAAACTGGGACGGGTGGCTAGCAATAGCGCACCTAAATCCAGTAAGCGTGATCGATACTACTTAAGAAAAGGCTAGATGACAGTGGGACCAGTTGTTTTGAGTGATTAATCTTGATACAGGGCAAGGAAAGATTCGTGATCCCTAGGTGAGGGATCACGATCCTGGCTTAGGATCAAAATTCTGAATTTGGATCACAAACCGGACCCAAGATCACGACCCGGACCCAGGGTCGCGATCCGGACCCAATGTCACGATCCGGACGTGGGATCACGATCCGAGGTAAAATGGTGGTGATATATCGGGTGGGCCACAAAAATATTCGATTGCTAATTACACCTGATGCGGGCCACACCAAAAAAGAGGACGATCTTCCTGAAACGGGAAGCGTGGCATCCGGTTAGAATATACGGATAAGACAGAGAATAGGTTATAGGTTGGTTAGCATTGAAAGAGCTCAATTTACTTCATAAGACGAAAGCAAACTCTTCCGGGCAGGATCTTTGGTCTCCCGACGAATAAAGAGTCACGTTACCCGTCCGTATAAGTGTCGCACCTAAATTGTTTGGCCAGGTGCGTTCAAGAATTCTCAGGTAACTACAACTGCGATCGGACGCAGCAAGACACGTAAAGGCAAGTCACAAGATCGCGAGACGGCTCAAGTGGTCAGAAAGCTCGCGTATCAAGAACCCACACAGTGGGCAAGGCGATCTCGTTGAGATCAGGGTAACTTATATCAGTACCCCCACCGGTACCCCCACCGGTACCCCAGTGATCGCGCGTGGATTTCCGCCCGATCACACAAACCCATATCCAACAACACGGTCATTAGCGTACGACTAGAGAACGTGACAGGCTAATACACACCATCATATTCTTGTAGTAGAGCAGCTGATACGGCCCACTTACTAGCGTACACCACGATCACAGGAGACCGATCGGGATCAAAATGTTTTAAGATTGGAGTTGTGGCTATCTTAGCTTTCAGCAATGTGAATGCGATTATCGCCTTCTCCCATCGGTTCCTGGTCTCAGGCGTTCGATCGTCCCCCACAATTGGGTACGAATCGCGATCGATCTCAAGTTTTGGGCACAAATCCCGACCCCCCCCCACAATTGGGTACAAATCGCGATCGATCTCCGGTTTTGGGCACAAATCACGATCGCCCCCCACAATTGGGTACAAATCGCGATCGATCTCAAGTTTTTGGCACAAATCCCGATCGCCCCCCACAATTGGGTACAAATCGCGATCGATCTCCGGTTTTGGGCACAAATCACGATCGCCCCCCACAATTGGGTACAAATCGCGATCGATCTCAGCTTTTGGACACAAATCACGATCGCCCCCCACAATTGGGTACAAATCGCGATCGATCTCAGCTTTTGGACACAAATCACGATCGCCCCCCACAATTGGGTACAAATTGCGATCGATCTCAGCTTTTGGACACAAATCACCTTGACATTATGTTAGACTCTTTCTTCATGCACTTCCCTGGACGCTTGTAGAAGTGCTTGTGGTATCCAGGTTTTGTCTGCCGACAGACTGACATCCTCAATTTAGCCCCTGCCTTGAGTCTGACGGACTAGGCTGACTCCTGGCACAATCAATACCAGATGAACGTCGCTGATTATCCGGGATCGTCCATCGACCGCCTCAAGAACAAGTTCGTAGAGAAGTGATAGGCTGTTCTTCTTATAAATGACCATTATATTTGTGGCCGCGGTTGTGACCACATATCGTAAAAAAAATAAACCTGCCTTGGTTGTTCGTTCATTAACTGCTACGTTTCTCAAACCTGTAAATTCTTCCCTTGCTGGCTCGCGTGGTCACTGTTATATTTTTCGCTCGCAAACCAGATGGTCACCATTCGTCGTATCGAGATTAGCATTTCTAGCCACTCTAAAATCTGGGTTCTTCTTTGTGCAGTTGTATTAATACAAATCGATTTCATCTACCTCGATCACGTTCAAATTTCTTTAACAATGCTGTACAATTGAGGTGTGCTTCATCCACCCAGGTTTCGTCATTGTAGCATTTCGACCTGGCCAGGACTGTCTGTGTTTTCTTTCATACCGAGGAATTCGCGTCATCCTCACATATCTAATGCTGTTCAACTCGTAATTCCTTCGGATTAATTGCATTCCCAAATATCCTCCGACAGTAGGGCTCCACCAAAATTCACTCGCTCGGTTTCGTCGATCTCTAGCCTTGCAGCAGGTCAGACAGAAAAACCTCGTGTCATTTTTTTACATCGAACTATAAAGACGCCTCGTGATCTTTTGTCTTCTGCCGATCTCCGATTATTACAAATAATATACATACATATCTATAATGCGCTAAACATTATGATGCGTTATCCACCATTCGTAATCACAGGACTCGAGGAAAGAGTTAATGCTCGCCTTCACATTGGAAATCTATGAACAGTGGGTTGACTCCCACAGTGCATAAATGTGGTATTTCTCAAATCCCTCGTAAACCACAGCCAATTTGGCGAACCAGCGAATCGGTTGGACTCGGACGGGAGCGGAACGCTGAAATTAATCTCAAATCTCGGCGGTCAGAAAACTCATAGCAATAGCGGGAGTGACCAATGAGGACTCCACTTGAAAAGACGGTCAAAATTACCGTCTGGTGAACCGGACCATCCTCAACGCATTCGAGTATCCGCGATGACAGAGCTGAAGGAATTCAGCGGCAAGTATCGAGATGAAGATCGAGCCAGAAGCTGGATCAGCATAGTCAAGTCGGCATTCCTGCGCGATCAGGCGCCAGATGAAGAAAAATGTCTGGTATTTGGCGATTTGTTGACGGGAGACGCATTCTCTTGACATTAACTTAAAAATGCAGCTTCAGAAGGTCCCAACGCAATTTGTATAATCTCCGTATTATCGCTTTCCTCTACATCCGACTCAGCAGAAATATTACTCGACGACACGGCTAAAGAATTTTATTTCTCCTTGATTTTGACGGTGGTCGTGACTTAGCGACAACACGAGTTATTGGTACCAGTTGGTGGGACCAGCACTTTAAACAGTAATCGACTGGCCATAATCACCTGATCCAGGTTGCAGTGAAGCAAAACCTGCGCATAGAACAGCCTCGGTACAGATCTTGCCCCTTAAAGCAACTGAAAGAGAAGTTTTACTGATTCCATCTTTATTGTGGCGGCTCGTGGTGCATTTGTAGGTCCTCGGATCCGTCTAATTAGTCCCGATTCCAACATCTTAAGCACCCTATCTGTCGAAAGCACAGTTTAAAGCTGGATTTAGAAAAAAACGTTGTAGCTGATCCATCTTCCATCTTGACCTCTCCTGCCCCAATCGTTTCCTGATCGTTGTCTCGAAGTTCAGGCGCTCATGACTTCTGATTTGCAGATTTCTATATTTTTCTTTGTAAAATTTCTTGTTAAAATGAAGCATGTCCTGCTTTGGCTGGACCTGTTCCATCCGACGGGTCTTACTTAAAAGTTTGATCTGCGGTGGACCCCAAACTGACCTCAGGAGGGAAGAGGTATTTATCATGATCCAACGAGCGATAATCCCTTTTTTATTTTCGGTCCACCCGAGCCTCTCCCAAAACTTTAAAGGATCAAGGATCCTTCATCATAACTTGTCTGCGACAATACCGTCTTTTCCAACGATTCCATCCCCGATTTAATCTTGACCCTGTCATCTTTGATCTGGAATCCACGGTGAATAAGTTACCGTAGACCCGCACCATTGTGGTCAAGTGATATTCACTCATTTTGTGAGCGAAACAAACTCTTCACTAGCTCTCGGACGACCGACTAACGTAGGGTCACTCCGAA